TCCGTCTTTGTTCAGAATAATAATGGAAAGTCTTTATGTGACAATTTTGGGGGAAATGCTGGAGAAGCTTGTTAAACATGTGCCTTTAACTACACGCTCCCCTCCGCCAGATATCATCCTGATCAATGGCGCTGCAGCTCTGTGAAAAATGACGATCGCTGGAGCCGCTGTAAATGTTTTAGCTATCAACACTGCTTCATCCCCCGTCAGCCAACACCATAGCCAATCTTTCACTGACACTACATCGTGGCCTCGCCCTGGTTAAATCCAAGCCCATCTTCTCCCATCAGTAATTGCAGTTGTCTGCTTGTGATGTGTGACTTCTGAACGATTCCTTCACTTTAGGCTCATCTGTTTTAGTGAGTCAGGAGCACTAATTCAATGAGATGGTGGAGAAATGTTCAAATAATGTTGTGACACTTGAGCACTGCAGGAGGCCGGACTACAGGCAACCCCTTGGTGTGTTTACATGCGCTGTAATAATGTGATTAAGACCAGAGGAAAGCAACACAAATTACTACATCTGTCATGTTAACTCTTTAAGTTATATTATATGTATTAAGGTCGTAATCAGAATGTGTGAAACTTGATTAACAGAGCATGATTACACATCTCTCTTTCAAATTACTCTAGTCATTTTTATGCTGTTTACTCTTGTAAATGATATAAAAATCCCAAGTGATGTGTTTGAAGGAAGGGCATCAACTATCACTGCACAGTTTTTTAAATTCAAGTCCCTGCATTTTCTGTTATATTTGTTTTCCTTATAATACTTCAAGCTTCCTCAGATTTAGTTAACTATGAAACAAGTAATATAAACGTGTGTTATTAAATAAGCAAGCTACTGTATGTTTATGCCATATACCTTTAATTTGGTTGTTTATGTATGTACAAATGTACTGATAGCTTGAATCAACAGAAAAGACGATCATTAGGAAGGTTTCTATCCGCCTGTTTTTAGACATATTTTGACTTTGTGCATAAAAAGAGTGGAAATGACAAAGAATTGAAAAGCAAAAGATATTGCTAAAAAGTTTGAATATTTAACTGAGGCAGAAAAGTTGACATACTGGAAAAGAGAAGACTCAATAAAACTGGAGAGAAACACAATTTCTCAACTACACTTTGAAGTTGCTTCAGTGTCACAAAATTAAATACAAGGATACAAATATCTTCATTTGAAAAATACAAAAGCAACACAGATTTATTTTTCCACAGTGATTTGTAATGGCTTGACAACGAACAAATGATGTTGTCCTGCAGATAGGGGCATCAGATCCGAAAACAGATCTTTGTTCTAAAGGGTTCTTACAAACAACGTACTTTGTCATTTAATTCGAGAGACTTTGTGTGTGTGGATAACTCTGATTGTTCTTCCTGTTTATGTTGTCAATTTCATGCTCACAGAGCAAACCAATTTCCGATTGGGATAAACAATTAATGTCCCATAGTTGTTGCAAGCAAACAATAATTCATTTTTATTTTGCCTACGTTTGTATTGTAGGTATGTTTTCATTAGTGTATAATCACCTGAGAATAAGAATACCATAGAACATGGGGGAGGCAACCTGTGGCTCCGGAGACATTACCCGGCACCTTTTCCTCTATATCTTGCTGAACCTCAATAGTGGTGGCCAACTACTCTTGAGTCTCCGCAGCCAGGCTAGCTATGGATTCCAAATCAGAAAAAAGAAAAGTCTCAGAGAATAGAGAATAGAGAATTTAATAGTGCATGGACAGATTCCTCATCTTTCACCACAAACGCTACTGCGCTATCAGTATGCGTGATCTCTCTGTGTGTTACGGCTCCAGACAAAATGTTTTTCTTTTGGCAAAAAATGGCTAATTTGAAAGTAACGGTTGCTGGCCCCTGCCTCAGAATGAGCCATTTCTATCTACAGAGGGAGCGGGTCCTCTTCCACGGAGGTTGCCATGTTGAATATTGTCATATTTCTAGACATGGCCTTTTTTGTTTTTCATGGCCATCATACACTTGAAATGGGAGGGTGAGGCAAGGGCACTGTAATCTGCAACTTCAAAGCTAGATGCCACTAAATCCTACACACTGAACCTTTAAAACATTTTATGGAACTATTTTAATAACAATGTTTTGCCTCATCACACCTACAAATCAAAATTTGAACAGTATGATACATTGTTTTGACTGAATAAGAAAAAAATAGAAGATCCAACTCTCCACCCCACTGCCCCCTCCGTTCATTGCGTCTGCCCCAGTGGTCAAGGACACCCATATCAGTGAACGTCAGGGTAGGCCCCATCCATCAGAGGACTATGGGTAATGGAATCAACCGGTGACAATGATCATCAGCACTGCAAACAATGGCCCATAAACATCCCTTGACAAGTGGTCAAATGCGAGAAAGGCGAGGTGGGGGTTGGGCAAGGGTTTGAGGGATTGTATGTGAGCGTGTGTGTGTGTGTGTGTGTGTGTGTGTGTGTGTGTGTGTGTATGTGTTTATGTGTGTGCGTCCACATGTGTGAGTCAGTCAGACAGAGAGAGAGAGAGAGAGAGAGAGAGGCTGTAACACGAGGTGAAACAGTGCTGCAGAGTAGCAGAGAAATGGTGAGGAAGATATCTCCCTGGGGATGATGTTGTGGGCCAACATGCTACCTCTGAAAACAAATGTCCCCCGTGGGTCGGAGTTCAGACATGCCTCAGCTCATTTTAAGAGCTCGCTTCCCCTACTTTCTCTCTATCTTCCCCTTTTCTCATTCCTTTTAAGATGAGTTTTTATCTGCGCTTTGTTTTATCAGATCACTTGCAGCAGTGAGGCCCACAGATAACTGGAGAGAAAGAATTGTATATACACCTTTGCCCGCTTTTTTTTATTAAAATTTTCATTCAGGAAGGAAATTGCGAAAATGAAAACTTCGAACCCGGATAAAACACTTGTATTTCAAGCCTAAAATTGCTTGCTCCTGCCAAAATACTCTTAAGTAAAATGTGTCCAATCATTGTTTCCCTTTCCCTCTCAGTCAGTGCTGAATGAAACCCAATTAGAGAGAAGTTGAGGATTTCAAAGAAAGCAGAAAGTAGATTTTTTTTCTCTCTTCGTGTTAAGTTTCCATGGCAAGAAGTAGTTGTTGCCTTTGTCAAGCTGGGTGTTTCGTCACTCCATTTTTGTGTCAGCTGGTTTCTGTCTCTGTAGTATACGCACACATGCTCGCACACACACACACACACACACACACACACACACACACACACCAGTTTAATTAGCCATCATTTGTCTCAGCTTTCCCTCTTTTCCGCTGTTTATCCAAACGTCAGGAATGACACTGGCCAATTAGTGCAACGAAATAGTTTAACCCCTTTCTAACACTTGGAACAGTACAAACCAAGTGGGATATTTGCTTGGAGCTCAAGGACTGGTGTGTTGCATCCACGTGTCGGCGTGTACGTGTGTGTTGGAGGTGGGTTCAAACTGCGAATGACAATTCAGAGCGGATGTTTAGTAAAGATATTTTTGTGGTTTTTTGTCTATTATTAGGTCAATATTATTTGTGCAATTTTATTTCAGGCTCATCACACAAAAGAGGGCTTTGTTACTGTCACAGAACATGTGTGATAGGGTGATAGAGAGAATCATTATTTTATGTTTTGTCATTAGTGGCAGACTAAATTGACCCTAAGATTGGCTCGCACTTCAAAAATCCAGAAATCCAGGGCAACAGCTGGATAATGGGTGCCGTAGTGATTTACTAATTGTCTTCAGGATTCAAATTAATAATTGGCAAAGCTTTAGCTGAAGTGCACATCTAAGTGCTCTTTGTCGTTCACTTGTATCTTCAGAAAAAGGCAGCTCAGACGATATCATTAACAGTCTCTCCAAATTGAAACAGTCATCAAGAGTGTCTTTAAATGTCTCCCGAAGCTTTTTGTTGAGTGCAAATGACATCTCGCTCATTTTGCTGGTGGCTACATGACTGATGTGCTGAATAAGAAAGTCCGTTTTGACGCTTTTGAAGGCTGCGGGTTTGAAGTATATGATTCTGAAGTGCCAGCATATGCTTAGCGAGATAAGTAATTTGACACACAGACATCACAGCCAGCAAATCTTTCGTCTGGCTGCCTTGAGTGTCCACGTCGGGCGCTTTTTCAAGAACACTTTACAACTGTCACAACTGACTGTCAGCGTGCAAATGACACACGCAAACGAGCTCATTTTGAACACAGATTAAGACAGCTGTCTTATCAAAACATATAAATTCATCCGGACTAAAAATACCATTAATTTTTATCTCCGGCATTTTAAAAAATAATTTGCTATTTAAGAACCAAAGAATCCTCCTTTTTAGTATTGGTTTGTTCATTAGAGTAATTAAATTAACTACTCATCCTCGGGAGAGAAACTAGATTTAAAGCAGGAGTCACTGAAAGCAGCACAGCAATAACACAGCCGTTCAGATGACAGAAAAGCTTCCCCTGCTGTCATTTCTCCCTCTGACTAAGACATTTGACCGAGCTACCTAACATAAAGACACTACTGCACACAAATAAAGACACAGTACATACATGCTTACACACAATCACATGCGCACACACACGCCAGCCGGGGAGGAAGGGGAGGGGGGTGGGGGGTGGGGGGTCAGAGCTGCAAACGAAGTCGCTGACATTGTGGCACTTCTTTGGCAGCGTTGTGCAGGTGTCGTCTGCACACAGGCTTCTGAATAAATGGATCTGAAATGATTTACCTAGGGTATCTGCCACCTGAGCACAGACACACACACACACACACACACACACACACACACACATATAACACAAGCTTCTTCCCTCCCTCCCTGTTGTTCATACTGAGACGCTGACGCAGAGATACACCAAGAGGGAAAAGAGAGAAATCTGGCAGAGCAGCATCCTATTGTGTCGTCCTGAGTCACATTATCTGACAAACGCAGAGATTTACCAATGCGAGTTTCATCATACAGTTTAGACTCATTTTTGTGATTTGAGTTTGATCATACCTATTTGTTTTCAGACATAATGGGAAAATATGACTGAGGTCACGCTAAGAATAGCCAATTCCCTGACCTCGGCTTCTCCAGCGACGTCTGCGGCATTATCGGGTGAAATATCCACTATTTCATGCTAACAACAAGAGACGTCTGTACAGAGGCAGCAGCACACAGGACGACTGGCTCAGGGCAAGACATCCGGATCACAGCGGCTTTTGTCACCTACAAGCCACTTGCAATCATCCTGGAGAAGAGTGCATGTCTTTGTTTTTGTGATAAAAGTGCAATGTATATGAGTTAATAAATCCGTATGTGTGCTGTTTTTGTTTGAACTGTATATATAAAGCTTTGACTTTCTGTGTTGTTTCATTCTAACACGATCGTTCGAAGAGTATTAACCTATAACTTTGTTGAAGATGTTTGTTAAATACTGTAACAATGAATTAATTAAACAATGAGACAAGAGATGCAGTTTTTACTTTTTTGGAGAGAATTGTTAATTTCACAAGGTTAAGGTAGCACACACACGAGCATTTGTGATACATCACAATAACAGGGCTTTCACACCACATCGCGCAGAGCAAGCCATTATTTCCAATGGAGAGAGCAGCTGTGTGAGCCGCAGTGGCATGCACTTAACAAATTTTTCAATTTTGCAGCCAAAGTTCAAGTAAATTTAACTTTTAGTCCCAGACTAGGCTTACCTCCACAGTGGACATCCAACGGGAGTCTGTCATTAACAGGACACAAAGTTATGACCAATTTCACTGAAGAGAAAACCAGAGAAAGTCGTAATTTTGTGCATCTCTATCCAATTCTGCTCTTGCTTGCTTCTCAATTCTCCTGGGACATGAGCGTTTTTATTCAAATAAAGCAGAAAAGATCAGAGAGGATAGGTACACACCAGGTTAGAAAAATGCTAAGATGTAGAGGTATAAACAATAAAAATATAAATTATTTTTATTGTTTATACCTCTACATTTTAGCATTTTTCTTTCGGATCATTGCACACAAATAATAAATAAGTAATAACTGAATTAAAATAAAACAGCAAATCATCTGATTATTAGGTTAGTATAATTCCAGTTAACCTCTGTACGATTACTGTATGTGCTGTGATTCATTATAGTGCAGCCCATTCCATGAAAAAGTTTTGATTGGTTCCTACCAAACGTCTGCCACTGAAATTTGTAACGCTTGCTCAATGGAACCTTACGTGGATAACTTCATGATAAACTTATCTCTGAACATAACAGATTTTAGCTGTCACATTTAAATGGTTTGAAATATTGAATATTTTTCGGCATCTAATTAAACAAGAACTCCACAATTTATAACAACTGTTTGGTCTTTCATTCAAAACAGACTTTACATATTCTGATAGTTACCAAGGATACAAATCCTCACCACTGTCATTTTTTGAGTCAAATGTAGTGAGTGTTACACTATTAGAAAGTGGCAGAATACAGTGGAATATTTTACTCAATATAAATTACATACCCAGGAGAACTGTTTTTACTGCCCTGATCCGGGTACACAGAGGGTTAATAGTTTGACTGTCCAGCTCTGATGGGAGACACGTCCCCAGCAGATGGGCAAAAACTTGACACTAACGCAAAGGAGAAAAACAACAAAGTCAAGAGGTGAAAAATGGAGGCATCAGAGAGATACATCATCATCCCACCTCTATGACACTCTGTAGGGCCTGACCTTACCAGGCTGCTGGGTTGTCAGAGTGGCGTAATCAAGTAGTAGGCAGAGCTGCCAGACCTGCCCTGGTCTGAGAACATGCACAGCCCTGACTTCATCAGTCCAGCTGATACGTGTGCATAAAGAGTGTTTTTAAAAAGAGGCCATTTCACCTTTTCCTTCATATTCAGTTTCGGGTTGTTTTTCACACAGTGGAGACAGGTCAAATAGAAAAGTGAAGTGTGAGTTATTTTGTCTAGACTGAATAAATAAGCAAAGTGAAAATTCAGTGACATACTTGTACAAATATTTTTAATTCAGTTTAACTTGCACATGGTCACTTACTAAAAAAACAAGGAGTAATACTTTGACATTCTGTAAAATGGCCTTTTGGTTAATTTTGATATATTTTTAAATAAAACAAATATCTTGCCTTAAAGGTCTACTGTGTAACACTTAGGAGGATCTATAGGCGAAATGGAATATAATATTCATAACCATGTTTTCATTGGTGTATAATTACCTGGAAAAAATAAATGGTGTCTTTTTGTTACCTTATAATGAGGTGTTTTTATCCTCTGCCACAGAGTCTGGCACGTTTCTACAGTAGCCCAGAATGGACAAACCAAACAGTGGCTCTAGATACAGCCTTTCGCATTTTTCTACAAGTTTTGCTGCAAATGTAGCTTCTCCTTTGTGCTTCGTTGAGTCAGGGGGTTTCCCCTTTGGTTGTTTGGTTGCAATCGTAAATCTCTCCTTTAACACTTAAATTGGCAATGTCCTCTACTCTGGGCTGTACTAAAAGACAGGTTAGTAGGTGCAGCTTCAATACAATGCTTACAAATAAGATTAAGTGGATGTGGTACTGGCTCTATCACCATAAACCAGTTGGGAGTACATCTTTTACAGTATCGGCTCCAATGACAAAAGCTGCTGGTTTCGGATGGTTCAAAAATGTCAACAAAATCTGAGTAAGCCACAATTGTACTCTCCTAGTGTACTGTCCACTCAGACATGTTATCTCACTAAATCATGTACTGTGATCACAGAAATACTAATGACAATGTTACACACACACACACACACACACACACACACACACACACACACACACACACACACACACACAGTACTTTAAATACAGTAGAATTAATTCTGCTGCTATCCATACAGTCCAATTTAAAAGTGGTCACAAAGAACATGAATATCATTAGAGCCGTATTAAAAAATATTATTGACCTTTCTGTGGTTGTGTAAGTGGACATCAAACCCAACTTTTTAAAGTCTGACCCATGTAGAGTCCTATTAACATATGCTGGTCCTAATAAATTATCTCTGTCATATTATAAAAAAAATTAAGCACAATTCTACAATTTTATGAGCCTGTAAAGGTGAAGGCCATGCATATTAAGTTTTTCATGCACCGTGAACTTTTGAGGTATGCTACAATAGGTTATATAATTAATTTCTGCAGGGATCCCTGAGCCATATATTCTCAACAAAGGGGTGATAGTCGTTTGGTCCTGGAGAGTGTAAAACTGAGGGAATATTGCAACAAGGTTCAAAGTTCAATGTTATTGACTGCATAGCTTGGAGAACACCTTGAAAACAGATTAAATGACAGATACAAGAGGATAAAGCAGGTTAAAATGAAATATTTTCACGAAGATTGAAAATTATGAAAAGCAAATGATACAAATGTTGGCATAACTTATTATCAGCCGTTCACCTGTTAGGAATGACCTCTATAAGTTTAATAGGGGCAGGTCAACATACACTGTGCGCACACCATTGTATGGCAGTTGATACTTGTACTTTGTGTCAGAAAGGCAGAAAAAAAGTTGTAGATAAAGTTGAATTCATTATTTTCACCACAGGAAACATGATATATTTAAGGAATAAAAGAACCGCTTATTTGAAGGTCAGTGTGAAACACCTGTCAGTGCATATAGCAGACATACTACACTTGTCAGTCTTACAAATCTGTACCTGCACATTCAATCCATTTGCATTCAAATGTAGGAAACACAATCTGAGTGCATAAAGAAGGTGGCTGTTTGCTCAGAGCCCTCGTCACATTGTGGTTGTTTACTGAATGTAATCATCTGGTTTACTGATGGAGTTAATTTAAACCTGCATGACATCCTCTGTGCGCATAAGAATGTGAAATCATTTTGCTCCATTTCTTGTGATAATTGGTTTCTGGGGCATTTTTTTTATATCTTAACATCAATTGCTTTCCTTCATCTTTTTCCTTGCAAAAAATTTTCATGTGTGGAATGACAAATTTCAGACTAGACTCATTTGATTTGTTTTACATGCTCTTAAAAACAGTTAACATCTAGCAAGGTTATTACAATGATTAAAATCTGATGTGTTGATCTTTATCAGTTTACTCCAGTTTTACTTTATCAGTCCTAAAAATAGCAACGAAAAGGTAACATCGTGAACGCTTTTGCATACTTGCTGCACCACAAGTGTGTACATTCGGATGGCCAGTAGTCAGTAACCATCATGCTCTGTGCTCTGAGTTACACAGGAGCACTTTTCCATTTGCAAAACCATCCAGTTTGGTTTGGCTGAAAATGTACAGTGTACAAACAGACCAAAGGCTTTTGTTCTCTAAGCAGTGATACCCTGTTGTGATTTTCATTTGAGTCACAGTGTGTAATACTTGATAATTTGATAAGCTCCTTCTCTCCCCCTCGCACACACACATTTCCTATTTTAAACTGCAGCAACCAGTGTAAAGATGGTGCCTCAACTACATCACTGCAGAATTCTTTTAGGTTTTGGTTCCAGATGCTTTACCTGCTGTTCTGAAACACTGCGTTGTTTACTTCTTTATAATCATGCCACTCCTAGGTCAATTAATGAATTGCAATGAAAAATTCTAAATCTAATTTCGGGGGTAAAACATAGAAGTTTATTTTGATGAAGCATAAAATTTGGTTCAGGCATCTAATCATCTGACCTTCCCTTTGGAGGTTTTCTGGGCACGTCCAACTGGTAGGAGACCTCGCGGTAGAACCAGAACATGCTGGAGAGATTATATCTCTCGTCTGGGTTGGGAGCACCTGGGGAATCCTCCAAGAGGAGGTAGAAAACCTTGCTGAGGACAAGGACATCTGGACTACCATAGCCTGCTGCCACCGCAACCCTGTCCCATGTAAGCGGCAGAAAATGTATGGATGGATGTATATTGACAAAATGAGATACAAGTCTGGATGTAATTTTGTGACTATGGCTCCAACAAGCTTAGAGCTCTGGTTGTTGAAGGCTTCCTCTTTGGTCAGATGTATGGCACCAGTGGCTTTACACAGTATTATTTGTAAAAAAGAGTTATGTCCTTGATATCCATTTGGGATGTAAAGAGTGAATTCAGCTAATTGTAACAAGGTGTTTAGATTTGACTAATGGTGTAGGTGGATGACTAATACTGCCAAAATTTGGATGCATTATCTGTGTATATTCGAATAAGGTATTCGTATTCAGTTAGCTTGAAGGGCCTGAAGAAGTACTTGTCCTAACTCTTACTTCCTCAGGTGTGAAGTTATAACACACTCAAACATTTCACACGTCTCTGCCCACTATTACCAGCTCTACGACACAGATAACACTGGATACAGCTAAAGTTGCACTCTGGAATCAGCCTCGACAGCTGAATGACGTCAATACGAGAAGCCAACATTTCTATGTACTTGACCCCTTCCCAACTAGTACGGGCCGACACCAATATTGCTCGCTGTTGCCACTCAACGCATGACAGCTGAATG